CATTCACCTCCCGGCAGGTACAGGGTCCCTGGGAGAAGGGCTGACTCCGCGCAGCGTGGGTGAGAGCCGTGCTCAGCTCCCAGAGGCCTCCTCTCTTAGAAGCTGCAGGCGATCCCTCTCTGCTGTCTTAGATGCAGCCTGGCCTTTCCTAGTGCACGGCAGGAAGGGCTTTGAAGGATGTTCAGTCGTCAGGGCACGAAGTTCCCTTTGTCGCCAGCAGCTTCTCTGAGTTCTCGGCGGTGCAGAGGCCACGCTCGGTCGGAGGACTGATGTCAGTTGTTGATGACGGCGCCAGTGACTCGAGCCCAGAGGAGGCCCAGCTGGGGCGCAGGGCTGGTTTCGGGAGGGACTAGTCAGGAAGCTTAATGTGGTCAGGATAGATTAGTGGCCCAAAGTGGGTTTGGAACTACCTGGATCGAGAGGGAAGAACCCTCCAGAAGAGAACAGGAATGTGGCTAGGGATTCTGGATTAGTGGGAGGTGTTCGTGGGTTTTAGACTGCCGGGACTCGGCCCCAGTAGAGTGGTTCCGGTCTACACGCCAGTTTGGCCTCTAATGTAGAATAAATCTGCCCGTTGTAACTTACTTAAAGACGATCTTAATCATTTAAAAGAATGTTTTAAGTTGTGGTAGAATACACATATCCGGTTATCAGAAGAGTCATGACGCATTTTTGCATAGGAAAACTTAGACAGATCCCACCCATTTTTTTTTTTTTTTGGAGAGGTTTTTTCGCTATAGGGCGCGTGCGCTCGCCAGACAGACAGAGAGAGACATAGAGACAGAAAGCGAGAAATCACCCCCCAGGGGGGATGGTCACGCCGCAATCCCTTCTCCTCCATTCTTCTCTCGGGATCTTGGGCACGCACGCACACGCGCCCGGCGTGAGTTTTAAGCCACCGGGTCCGGGACGCGAACCGCAGTCGACTACGTGGGAGTCCAGCGACATAGCCATTACGCTAACTGCTAGTTCCCAGATCCCACCCTTTTTCACACGTCCTGTTTGATGTTAAGGTCATTCACGCTGTCATACGGCCGCCGCCACACGGTTGCAGAGCTGGAGCCCGGCACCGTTAAACGCTCATTCGGCACCTGTCACACCCGGCTCCTGGAGCCACCCTTCTGCGTTCAGTCTCTGTGGCCCCGACTCCTCTGGGGGCCTCGCTGGACCATGCAGCTGGACCTCCTCAGGGCTCCTGCCTGTGATGTGGGTTGGGTGACTCTCACAACCCCCAGTGGCAGAGTCCTAGAGCCCAGGTTCAGCGTTCCATGGGTCACCCGCCTCTGTCCCCCGTCCCCATCTTCTCTTCCTACCCTTCCTGCCCCTCTGAAAATGCAAGCTATTACATGCTGTCTCATCCAGGGCCAAGACCCTGTTTGGGTCAGCTGGGCTTGGTGGATAACCCACAGCTGCAGGCCACCAAGGCAGGAGTGGTGCGGTGGTGGTAGGCACGGCAGCCAGAGTGTGAGGGGGACAGAGCCTGCGGCAGGGAACTCCGGGGGGACGTGGAGCTCTGGACTGAGCTTGACCGGCAAGCAGAACGAGAAAAAGAAGGCCCCACCCCCGGCTCCCCGACCCCAGTCCCCACAGACCCGAGGACACTGTGGGGCTGCTGGCCGGACCCACGAGCTGAGAAGGGCAGATCGAAGCTCGGAGCCCATTATGTCTTCGGTGGGAAGTGGGGGGCAGAACAAAGTGCTGGGGTAGTTTGAGACCCAGGGTGGAGTGCCCCATGGAGGGGCTCGGGGACCCGGAAGCAGCTGTGCAGGCGGCAGTCCTCTGTCCCCAGCCCCCGTAGGTGAGGGGTGCCCCCGGGCAGGGAGAGGCTTGCTCTGTTCCTGCATGGCTAGAATCACAGACAAATGTTTCTCCGCAGTGCAGCTCCCAGGGGAGGAGGATCAGCCCTTCTGAGGTCTTCCAAGGGTTAAGAATCCATTCAGCTGAAATGGGGACAACTGAGCCAGGCTCATTTTCTGTGTGAAATTGGAAGGTTTTGATGACATCTGGGGACTGGCTCTGTCCCGGCGGGGCACCGTGGGTGAGGACTGGGGAGAGCTGCTGCTCCTCTGCCGGCCCTGCTCAGAGCACCTCCTGGGCTCGGCTCGGGTAGGGAGCAGCGGGCTCTAAGGCTATTTGCACTCTATCGATGCCGTTTCCGCTTGGCTCCGGGCC